TCAACCTAGCCTACTTCACAGGGTTGTTGTGAGGATGAAAAGGAGAGGAGAACAAAGTTGTAAGTTACTTTGGGTCTCCACTGGGGAGAAAAGTGGGGGATATATAAATAGATGGAGGAGAATCTGGAACACACACACACAGAGACACACAGGTTAAAGCATGTGAGCTTTCTGACGGCACAGAATTTTTCAACACGAAAAGCTGCTGGTTGATTCTTCATGATTAAAAGAAATTTGTGGTGTAAGAACAAACGTGACTCCCCCCAGCTCTCGTTTCCGGGGGGGGGGTGTGTTTCCTCGCCCCTGACAGAGAAGTTACAGTCTCCAGACCTGGACAAAGAGCCATTTTTTGCACCTGCCTGGAGCCCCGGGAGTGGGGAGAAGGGCTCTGGGGTCTGCGGAAGGTTAGCCGGGGCTCGGCAGGGGAGAGGATTGGGCCGTTTCCTGTCCCTCTCTCCATTAACAAATCCCCTCCTCTGCCACAATGGGGCCGGGAGCCTCAGGAAAAGGGGATTAGGCAGTGTAATTAGGGCTCCCGGTGGGGAGTTTTATGGCACCATTAAAACCTGAGTGCTGTTCCACGGGAGGCGAAAGACCCCATCGGAGGGGCCGTGAAGTGCTTTCCAGCACACACAAATCCTCTCGCCTTCCAGCAGTTTCAGGTTGCTAAGGGCTGGTGAGGCTAAGGGTCAAGAGCCCCCCAAGGACTCCAGGGCACAGCCGGAAGTGGGTGCCGCTCCGGAGACACCAGCTCTCCTTGGACTTGGCACTACCCCAGCGGCACCTCTACAAACACAGGTCTTGAGGATGCTAATTCTTGTATCCCCGACAGAGAGCCAGAGGGTGCATCTTTCACCAGGCGGTTCTGCACCACAACTCCTGCATCTGTGAGCAGACCAATGGGGCCTTGTACCGTACAGGGCTGGCTCCAGGTTTTTTTGCACACTAGGCGAGGCTACCTTCTGGCACCCCCTGAGTAAACAGTCACCGAGGAGTGCTTCTTGCAGCAGAGGTGGAAGGAGGAAGCTTAAACATTCCGCAACGCTTGGTTTGATAATTGGAGAAGGGGGGGGGCGAAGGAGGCAAAGAGCGGTGCGAAAGGGGGGGGGTTGCTGGTGGCCCCTAATCACCGGCTGGGGGAGGGCAGGATTGTGGCCACGCTTTGGCCCTGGAGAGGTTTGGACTGACTTATGCCGCGGCGGATGCGGCGCGGCTTGCAGGGCAATCCGGGAGGGGCAGGGTGGCATGCTGGGAGGCACCCCCTCTTAAGAGGCCGCTCTAGGCCGCTGCCTAAAAATTGTCTATGATGAGCCGGCCCTGCTTGTAGAGAGTCAGCCCATCAGCTGCTCTTGTGTCATCTGGTCTGAGAGGTATTGTGGAGGGGGCCGTGGCTGAGCAGCAGAGCCTCTGCTTGGCCTGCAGAAGGTCCCGGTTCAATCTTCGGCGGATCCAGTTAAAAGGACCAGGAAGTAGGTGCCTGAGGCGCTAAAGAGCCACCGCCGGTCTGAGTAGACGAGACTGACGTGGCGGACCGGTGGTCTGGTTCAGTCAATGGCAGCTTCACATGTTCAGCTCTCCAGGGTCTCGGGCAAATATCCTTTCTAACCCTGCTGCCGTGGAATGCCAGGTTTTAAACAAGGGCTTGAGAGGCAGAGGGGAGCCGACTGAGAAAGGTTTTGCTCGTCGATTCCAGCACGTCAAACTGCTGGGCAATGCACTGCCACAGGAGGTGGCGGTGGCTACAAGCATGGATGGCTTCAAGAGGGAATTAGATAAGCACAAGAAGTGGTGACCCGTGATACTCGTGGTGGTGGTGGTGGGGAGAGGTCCACGCAGAGGAGGAAGCCACCGCAGGTAAGCCTTCTCCCCCGCCCCACCTGGCTCCGACAGCGAGGCCCATGCGGCTCCGAGCCGCCGGGCCTGCTAAACTTTCCCCTGGCAACGGTGGCGAGGCCTGTGTGGCTCTGAGTTGCTGGGCTTGCCAAACCTCTCCCGCCACCCCATGGCAATGGCAGCGAGGCCTGAGCTCAGTCCACCAAGCCTTCTCCCCCCCCCCGAG